TGATCGTACCCTTTGCATTCGAACCACACGAGCAGAACCCTTTCGGAGACCCACAAGGATGTCATCCACATATACTAGAAGATATATGTTATAGCTTTGATGATGAAGTATGAATAAAGACTGATCTGCCGAACTAGAGAAAAAGCCAATGGAAATTAAAAAATCAGTAAACGTATTATACCATTGACGCAGGGCTTGTTTCAGTCCATAAATTGCTTTGTGAAGTTGACAGACGTGAGTGGGATGTTCTGTGTCCTCAAAACCTCGAGGTTGTGCCATAAAGACTTCTTCGGAGAGCTGGCCATGAAGAAATGCGTTCGCGACGTCCAGTTGATGTACCTGTCAATTTTTAGAAATAGCAAGAGCAAGCATAATTCGAATAGTGGGAAGTTTGGCTACCGGACTAAACGTCTCAGTGTAGTCTAAACCATATTTTTGTCTATTTCTTTGTGCCACTAGTCTGGCTTTGTATTTTGCAATCGATCCGTCACTATTGAATTTTGTCCGATAAGTCCAGCGGCATCCTAGAATTTGATTTGTGGATGTATTGGGTACTAAACTCCAAGTGCCCTGTTGTTGTAAGGCCATGAATTCATTTGCCATTGCGTCACGCCATTGTGGATATTTGGCAGCTTCTGTGTAACATGTGGGTGCAGTAGGTGGATCAGGATTCTGAGAGTGGTATAAGTTCAGGCGATTAACGGGTTTCAGAGAGCCAGTGCGAGTTCGGGTGATCATATGATGTTTCGGATGAGTGGGAATGCTAGAACTTGAACCTTGGCTGGTGCTTGCTAACGGTATAGGAGAACTGCTTTGCTGTTGTGACAAAGCTGGAGCATTTGATGTGGTAGGTCGTTGAATGTTAGTGTGATTGTTCTTAATTATGGGCACCAGTTGTTGATTCATGGGTACAATCAGTCTAGGCAGGGTTGTAGTAGAACTGATTTGATCTTTGTTTTGATCACTGTCTGGAGGAGCTTGAAATGGAAACAAGTCTTCCTGAAAAGTCCAATGTCGAGAGTAAGTAATTTTATTAGTAATGATATCAAAACATTTGTACCCTTTATATGTTTCAGAGTAACCGAGCAAAACACAGGTATTAGCTTTATTTGCAATTTGTGACGATTGTGAGCGGGAGAGAGCGGATAACAGGCACATCCAAACGTCCGGAGATGTGCATATTCAGGTTGTCGTTTGTGCAGCAGTTCGAACGGAGATTTATTGTTAGTGTTATTGGAGGGCATCCGGTTTATCAGATAAACAGATGTAAGAGCTTCTTCCGGCCAGTGCTTATACGGGACCGAGGCTTTGTTAAGAAGCGTCCTTGTTGTTTCTATAATATGTCTGTGCTTGCGCTCCGCTACCCCGTTTTGTTCCAGCGTATATGGACAGGAAACCTGATGACTGATACCCTGACTTACAAGAAACTGAGAAAATTGATTATTTATAAATTCCTTACCACCATTAGTGCGTAAAATTTTAATAGAATGAGACGTAAATTTTTCAATTTGTTTCTTGAAGTTAACAAAAGTAGTGAAAACATCAGATTTTTGATAGAGAGGAAAAATCCACGTAAACCTGGTGTGATCGTCGACAAATATGACATAATACCTGTAACCTTGGACAGAGTCAACCGGGGCAGGACCCCACACGTCAGAATGAATTAAAGACAATATAGTATTTTGTCTGGTATGAGATTTAGAAAATACTAGCTTATGTCCTTTGGACAATTTGCAATAGGTACAAGCATCAGGTTTAGTAAAAATGTGTAAACTAGGATTACATTTTGCTATAGTTATAAGAATGTGGTCATTTGGGTGACCAAGGCGGTCATGCCAGGGAATGGTCCGGTGATTCTGAGTGACAAGAGCTTTCGGCAGAGGAGAAGCTTGAGGATTTTGGACGGGATATAGCCCCCTTTCACACGGTCCTTGGAAGAGAACCTGATGTGTCTTCAAATCCTTAAAATAGAAACCATTTGGATCAAAAGTTATGGCAATATTATTGTCTTTGGTAAGTTTAGATATAGATAATAAATTGAATTTCAAAGACGATGTATGAAGGATTTGAGATAGAGTAAGCTTACGAGAGGGAGTCGGTAACAGGCCTGTACTAGTATTGGCGATGTTAACCGATCTCCCGTCACCAACTGTGATGGTGTCCGATCCTTGATATGAGGAGGCAGTTGTCATAGTGTCGAGAGAATTTGTGAGGTGGGATGTCGAGCCGGAGTCTAAGTACCAATTTGTAGACTGATTGTCATTGTGAGTAACTAGCGCCGTGTTGTTAGTTGGAGCAGATTGATTGACGTATGTGAGGTCCAGGCGATGCCAACAAGAAGAAGCTGCGTGGCCTTTCTTGGAACATATTTGGCAAATGACATTAGAGTTCGGGTTTGCCTGCGATCTTGAAGCGGTGTTCTGATAGTTCCTGTTTCGGGATCGTCTGCCTCTGCCCCTGGGCGCAAATAAGGCAGTCTGATGATCTGGTGTAGGAGCGGAACGAGCGTTGTCTGACGCCATGTTGATCTCCTCACTGAGTAGAAGTGGGTATAACTGATCAAGATTTATCGGTGTAAGCATGGTCCGAATAGCTGTCTTGAATGACTGGTATGAAGGTGGGAGTCCATTGAGGATGTAAAGAATCACGTCCTCGCTATCAACAGAGGAACCCAACGCAGTAATCTGATCGACGAGAGACTTGATTTCCGTCAGATACTGTGTAATCGTCTGGTTTTTGAGGGAAATATTGTGAAGGGAGTTTTTCAATTGGATTACTTTTGAACAATTAGACGATTGAAATCTGGTTTCTAAGGTAGATCAGATTTCAGCAGTGGAAGTGAGATTTACCACGTAAGGGAGTATAGAGATAGAGATAGTGGAGCAAAGAGCAGCGGCAAGATTTTGATCAGTGAGGATCCATTGAGGGGATTGGGATTGGGTATTAGAGATCTGATTTTCACCGTTTTGAGAAAGATCATTCGGTGAAGAAGATGAATAAGGTTCAAGAAATTTTTCAAACCTATTTGCCCTGAAGATTTTGGCGATTTGAGCTCTCCAAATCGGGTAGTTGTCGGTTTGGAGTTGAAGGTGAACTAGAGTGCGCAGGTTAGAAACAACAAACTTAAGAGTCGGCGGGATGAGGAGATCTGAGGAGTCATCTCCGTCCAGTTGCTCGCCAGGATTTGAGTTTTCGGAACTCATGCTGAACAGAAGTATTAGGCCTCTGATACCATGAAGAAGACGAAGACAAGAACAAGACAGAGCTTAGAGAAACATAAAGTGAAATCTTCATATTTTAGATATCCAGTACAGTACTTATAGCCAAAAGTAAAGGCTTTGGTTCTTGAGAGCCAATAGTAAAATAACACCTAAGCATCTAATTAATAAATACAGATATTTATTTATCTTGATATTCTAATATGCCCCTGCAAACTGATGGGTCTTGAGAGACAGTCAGTTTGGATCTGAGCAATAGAAAACGTGGAGTAGATAATGCTTTGGTGAAGATATCAGCGGTTTGATCAATTGTATTAATAGGTAGAAGCCGAACGTGATTCTGGTGTATATGATCCCTAATGAACTTTTGATCAATCTCAATGTGCTTCGTACGAGCATGGAACGCCGGGTTGTTGGCTAATGCAATGGCGGAAGTATTGTCACAGAACATGTCGGTTGGATTGGATTGTGGAAGACCGAAATCTGATAGCAGTCTTCTAAGCCAAATGATATCCGCTGTTAGAGAAGCTAAAGCACAGTATTCAGATTATGTCGATGATTGAGCTACGGTTTGTTGCTTTTTCACCGTCCATGATATGAGATTGTCGCCGAGAAATGAGCAAAATCCGGATGTTGATTTGCGAGAGTTGGGATCTCCAGCCCAATCGGCATCTGAAAATGATTTAAGAACTAAGTCAGTTTTGTGGATTGGAATTCCAAAATCGAGTGTACCTTTGATGTAGCGAAGGAGCTTCTTGAGCATGAAGACGTGCTGCTGTTGAGGAGCATGCATGTGTTGAGAAAGCTGATTTAAGCTAAAGGCTATGTCTGGTCTTGTAAGAGTTAAGTACTGAAGAGAACCTGTTATGCGGCGGTATAAAGAAGGATCTAAAAGTTTAGAGTCTGTTACCAGCTTTTCCGGAAGTTTTGTGCATGTTGGATTGACCACTGGATTACAATTGAGAAGATCTGCTTGCTGTAGAATGGAGGTTGCATATTGACGTTGGGAAAGAAAGTAAAACTGAGCTTGTTTATCGATTTTAATCCCTAGAAAATCATGTACCGGCCCAAGGTGTTTCATCAAAATTTTTTGATCAAGTTGAGCTAGGACATTGGCTATGGCCCGTGGACATGATCCAGTTATGAGGATTGTTGACCTCGATTTTTGCTCGAGCGTCATCTAGC